TAATTATTGATTTGGTAAAAAAAAAAAATAATTTCAATCCATCCATAAAATTTTTTTCATGATCTAAATTTATTCCAATCACTGGATTTGAAATATAAAATATTTTACTTCCAACTTCAAGTCTAGTTTTCGTGCTAATGAGTATAAACATAGTTGAAAACAGGTCAGAATTAATTTTGGTTTTGGTTTAGTTGACGAATTTTGTAGTTAAAACTAAACTTCAAAGTCAAAAGTAAGACAATCTTTTTATTCTCATGTTATTTCAAAGCTGAAAATTCAATTTTTTATTTTTACTGTAAAGTGAAAAAATTCTTCTCACTCAGAAAATAAATCTTATAAAATAAAAAAGTAAAAATAAAAATATTTCAAAGAAAATTCGAAGAGAATGTACAGGAAATTTCAATAAATTAAATTTCGATCAGTTATGTCATGTAATGCATAAAAAAACCATTGATTGTATTGACACACTGAATTTCTTCATTCACAATGATAAAAATGAATTCAAATAAAAAGGATAAAATTACTTATCAAACTTATATTAAATTTTATCTTCATAGAAATTTTCCATTTTCAACGATAATCTACATCTCGAAATCCACATTGGTTTGTAACAGTACATAATCTTTGTACACATTGTCCATTTCAGATTTGCCAGTGGGCTTGGAATTACCCTAGGGCCATTTGGTCTCGAGATGAGTCTGCTTTTCGATTGTACTTTACACGGAAACTTTGGTGCTATGATGGACCTCAGGGATAAGAGAGCAAAATAGAGGTCACCCAAGAGAGAAGAATGAAGAAAACGAATATGTAACGACAGGATTCCCTAGTCGACTGTAGAAGTAGCAAGAGTCATGAAGATTCCACGAAACGATTTTTATTTAAATTCGTCATAATCATATTGATGTTAACATCTTATCAGCCACTTTTTATTCTACCATTTTATAAACTATTTACTCTGTAATCAATTTTTCAATCATAATCATAAATAAAATTTTAGTGGCATACAAATGATGTCATTACATATTGCATAAAATATTAGAACAAAAATATGATATTATTTCAATGAAAAAACGAACTTACAATCAAATAATTTTAATAAAAATTTTTCAGAATAATTCAACATCTTATTGCCTTGAATTATTGGTAGTACTGATTTATAATGAAATGAACTCTTTTATCCTTATTCATTTTTATCTTATAACAGGTAATAAAAATATATAATTCATTAAACTTATTAAATTTATGACTAAAAGCTTGCATTTAAAATAGAGATTCATAATCTATCCTTTACTTCACTCTTACAAAAAATTGCAAAATTCTACTTAGCTTGTTAGAAATATTTCTTTTAACAAGAATTATTGCAGATTTACTCTAAATAAAAATAAACAAAAAATTTAAAGTAAAAAATAAAAGCAACTAAACTTAAATCCTCTCGATTAGCAACGATTCTATAAATTTAAAACAACTAAATGCTCCAACTATTTGAAACATAAATCCTTATTCCATTGCATTCTTCAAGAAGTACCAATGAACAACTTGAAACAATAAAAAAACTCATCTTCAAGTTAAATTCTCCAACTTAATATTTAATTCACTCATCCTGATAACATAGCACTGTGTTTCTTGATTTTCATCAACAAATCTGAAGGTAACAAGCATGTGAAACTTCATAATACTATTCTAAAGTCCAAGAGACATGATAAGCACAAACGAAACATCGTGGTTTGTAGCAATCAGAGGAGACAGGTTTAAGCACGCGAGAAATGCTGATACGAATGCAATGGTTTGGACAATGGACCCATTTAAAATTAGCTAACTTAAAGCATTAACAGACTGTGCAGACGCATGATATCTGGACTCTAAACTGTTATGTCCGGTCTACTAGGATATATCGTTTTAACATGACTGCAAGTTTCCAAGTAACTTCTATTTGTCGTCAACATGTTTGCCGCATATCTAATTCTCTTTAGCTGTGCTATATGAATTTTAGCTTCAGAATATAGCAGAGATTATTTAAAATAGATAATCTAAAAGGTTTACATATATATATATATATATATATATATATATATGTATTTGTCCAATCGAAATGTAAAACTCAATGAATCAAAACACTATTCAGCCTTGTAATTCCTATTGCAACTAAAAAATTGCCTTCTTGTGGCCTCCTACGCTCCATGTTGGCAAAAACATCAAACGAATGTGGCTAGTCAATTTGAAGATTGGCTAGAATTGGAATTGGAAATGAAATTTGTTAGATGCAGAAATAAGGTCACGAAAAACGCGTGGTTTATCGCTCGTCAAGAGAAAAGAAAGAAAGAATAGAGAGGAAAAGAATGGTCATCAATTCAACGACTTCTAAAGAATCACGATCAAAGTGTAGGATTTTCTTCAACTGCCGGAAATGGAGTTCCACTTATTTTAAATAGAGTGTAGTAAAATAGAAGTTCGACAATTGAAATTCAAGTGAAAAAATAAATTAATACTATCATGTCATTCATTTCCATCACATCTAATAATACAAAAAAAATTATAGTAAAAATATCTTCAATGTACTTTACTTAATGTTTCCTTTAACGGTGAAAAAAAAATCTTCAAGTAATTGGGTGAATCCATTAGATTTATATTTTCATATTTTTATCTCAGTTATAGCGTCATAAATTTGAGCATAACATTATTAATGTTGAAGTTAAAATTATCCTGATGACTTTTCTATTAAAATTCAATATCAAACTTTCCAACAGCACAATCTAGTTTTAAAACTAATAGACAACTACATTATTTCTTAGAAAAATTAATAACACTAATCCAAGATAATTATTTTGAAGTCAATGACCAGTTTTAATAACACCATGGTTGTTACTATGAACATTATTCTGAAATAACAATGTTTTTTGTCGAGAATTACATTGAATCTAAAATATGTAAATTCAGCAAACAAATATTGGAGTCAACCAAATATAATACTTGAACAAAATTATTTTTCCAGATTAAAGTAGATACAAAAAAATTCCTATTTATTTTTACAAATAGATATTGAAGTCAGAGGGTTTAGGATTAACTTAAGAAGATCCTTACAAAAAATCGGTTGTAAAAATACTATACTCAATTGATCGAAAAAGAAAAAAAAATAACTGCAAATTTTTTATATTTACATGAGAATAGTTTGCATGATATTTATTAATGAGAAGCAGTTTAAAATGACTAACGAATTTCCGATTATCCAAATATTTATCATAGGTAGGCATAATTAATTAAACTGTAACTCCAATTAAAACGAAGATAAAATACATGCGTAATGAATAAATATAATATCTAGATGAAAAACATATACCAATGCAGCTTGCATAATATCAACAAAATCGGGAAACATTATAGCTCAGCAGGGACCAGTTAAGTAGATGAAGATAAAATCGATACCAATACCAGCTCGAATAGATGACGGCGCCAAAGGGATTTCCCTAAATACCAACTTTTATATCTGTATATTCAGGGATAGAATACTTAAACTTAAACCATGACCATGTGGGCGGATTGAAAGTTAAGTATTTATGAATACCAATCTGTAAATCTTACTTTTAACCAGCTCTCAGAGTCCAGATTCGTATAACAACCGGAGCATTGGCAGTAATTTTTGATCCTGGCCCAACCACATATTTTTATGAAACACATTTTCCATGTCGTCCTGAAGATTTATAATGTCGACGTTAAATCGTGACCCAGCAGGGAACATCTTTCTCAGCCCCAGTGTAAAATTCTCAATGAACGTAGAGACGTTATACTTTTATGACTCCCTGATGATTGATAACCAGGTGTGTATATGCATGTACTGCATTGTATTAAAACATTGAAATTAATTAAATGGTTGATATTTTAATTAATTTTAATCCTCCTTGTTCATTTACTTTCGACAGATATTTAATCAAAAAAACATTTGTTTAAATAAAACAAATTTTACCAATTAACATCATGGACATTAAATTGATATTATATAATGATAATGATAATAATAATAATTATTATGATTATTATTATTGTAATAAAATGAGATAATGTTATGAATAAAACAAAAAATGAAGAAATCCTGAGTGTTTTAAATTTACAGTTTTTGATAGAAGAAGCAAGGAGTTATAACTATGATAAGCTTACGGTACCGCAGTCAGAAACGACCTGGTGATTTATCTTTGATGCAATAAAAAGCATCGTTTTGCCTCGCCTGCATTCGCTATATGATGCATAGTGTTAATAACGAAACTTCTATTTTTTGTTCATTTCTCTCGCCTCTGACCTGAGCATAAACTAATCTAGTTGAGATACACCTCTATCTACTGTGTATAAAAGCTTCAATACTTGTCTTGATGACGATTTGTGTGAAGCATAAATAAAGTTGTAAATATGCTTATATATATAATAAATTTAACCTATTTCAATCTTTTAATGATGTTATTGCATGATAGATTTATATCAAATTAATCTAAAAATGGCATTTAAAAAAATCTAATCTTATTCTTTAAAATTTATTTAGTCTAACATTAATATCTTTATGAACTAGTTCACTTAAATATTTTATCTGCGGAAAAATATCTTCTAAGTTTCAAAAGCAACTAAGTAAAAGGTATTGTACTCGTGTTGTAATGTATTTATTCTCTGGAAGTAATGTAGTCTACACGCAATAGCAAATGTTATTTTCAGTTAAACTTTACTCTGTTGTATTTACAATCCAATGAGTAGTTTCTAGGGATAACATTTGCTGTTTAAGAATTGCTTTAAAATAATTTTACATTAAATTAACAGCTGCATAGAACCTGGTTTGGATTAGCAACGTTCATGATCATCATACTTTCAACAAAATTAAGATCCTTTTCGTCCAAATGTTAACTATTTATGTTGGAGCAACTGGTCAATAAAAGATTGCACACAATAATAAGATTAGCTACATGTTCCTGCGAATTAATCGAATGGAATGGATTCCTTGTGCATTGATAAAATATTTACAGACGTTGATTGACGAAATATGAATTTATTTTTAATCTTACAGATAGTAAAAATTAAAACATCACTTAATGGTGACCAGCCTTCCTGATTTGGACAAGAATGTTACCCAATTCCTCACGCTTCCTTTTTGCACGGATGTGTGTGCCCAGCTACAAATGATTTATTGGCTTATTTTTTTTATTTTAAGGTAACATTTTTAAAATAAAGAACAACAAAAGGATAAAACACTGGAGAATAAGTACGAATAACAAAAAAGCAGGAAGTGATGGTTAGGAGTAAAAAAACAATGTCAGTACAACGACCCACTGGATTCTAAACTTACTAGCGTGTTAAAGTGATTAATTTTTTGCACGTAAACACTTAAGGTTTATTTTCTACCATGTTAAAATTAAAGAAGTGATTAAATCACACTTTGCAACATGAGTTTGTTAAATTTTTCTTGCATAATTAATTTAAAAGTAGAAGTTAAGAGCGGCATACGAAAATCGATAGAAGAAAATTAATAAACGTCCAGAATGAAACGGTTAATATTATAATAATGTAAAAAAGTTAGGAAGTTAAAGGAAGGAAATCATGCGTCAAATAAAAAAACAGAATTAATTTTTTACATTCAAGTACTTACTCTTCGTTTCAGGAACTTGAGAGCACGCTTATCTTTTGATACTTTCAACAACTCCATTGCTCGTTTCTCATAAGGAGCATGTCCAGTAACTTCGCGAATTAAATCTCTGACAAATTTACTATGTTTTGTTTGACGCTGGAAAACAAATGATATGTTAGATATTGTCAACATAATGTTTTTGGCAATAATATCAAGTGTACAGCAGACTTACTCCCTTAAAACGGGCTGGTCTGATAGCAACTGTTTTTTCTTTTTTGGATGGGTTCTTCGCAACGCGAATTTTTGTGGTTTTATGTCCTTTATTAAGGCCTACAGCCAATTCATACCTCGGTGCCATCCTGCAATACAACCATTGAGGTTAAACGGTACATGTCAACGATACATAAAAAAAATCGAACCATTTTCTTTAATATTTATAAAAAACTATTGTACGATAGTTTTTTAGGATGATACAATTGTTTTTTATCATAATTAATTAAAGATTCTTTAAAATTTCATGGATTAAAATATCAACGAACCTTACGCCGTTTCACCGTTGTTTATGAAAGAAAGACACTCCGTAGATTTCTGCGCATATCACGTGGCCATAGATCACGTGAACTAATATGGCTGTTAAAGCGCACATATTCAAATTTAAAAATATTGAATTATTTCAATTTAACTAAAGATTTAAGTTAATATAAAGTAATTTATTTTCCTATACAGAAATTCGAAAAAATAATATCTAGAAGCTCTTCAGTGCTAATTTGACCAGTAATTTTTCCTAATTCTCGCATCGCATTTCTTATCTGTTGAGCAGCAATTACCATATCGTAGTTTTTGTGACTAGAAATTTGTAAATAATTTTGTAAATATTGTACACAATTTGTTAAATGAACTCTATGTCTAGCTTGACTTATGGTTGGATTCTCTCGTGAAGGATTTCCACATCTGAAAAATAAGAATTTAATTTATTTTTTATGCCAACAATAAATAATTGTATAAGTTTAATATTACTATTGGTTTTTACTTACATATGTTGGAATTTTTTTGTTAGGGATTCCATTAAATCTGAAAAACCTTTCTCATGCTCACATGAAATTAAAATAGCTTCAGATTTCTTCAAATCTTCGAGACTCTTGTCGTCAATTAAGTCCATTTTGTTGACAACAATAATAAAATTATCAGTTAACTTTCCATCTCCTTTTACCAAATCTTCAATTTCCAATACTTTTATATAATTATGAACATAATCACTAAAAGACATTTTACTTTGATAATATACATTGGCATCAATCATTAAAATAATTAAATCTGCCCCTGAGGCATAAACTTTAGCTCGCCTAATCCCTTCTTGTTCGACAATATCTTCTGTTGCTTTAACAAGACCAGCAGTATCAGCCAGAATAATTGGATATCCAGCAATATTTACATTCAATTCAACAATATCTCTAGTTGTTCCAGCAATGGGAGTAACGATAGCCGCATTTCTTTGAACTAAATGATTTAACAAACTACTTTTCCCAACATTAGGTTGTCCAATAATGGCCGTTCTCACACCTGTCCTCAGTATTTCTCCTTTTCTTCCGTCAGAAAGATGTTGAGAAATATTGTCTAATAAATTTATTATGGAAGTATTGCATTCTTCTAAAATTCCATCTTCAATATTATCATCTTCACTAAAATCAATGTATGCTTCAATATTTGCTAAAGACTTTGATAATATTTTTTTCCAATTATTATATAATTTGCTTAGACTACCATCAGCCTGTAATAATGCTTGTCGTCTTTGCTGTTCAGTCTCAGCATGTATTAAATCTGCTAAACCTTCTATTTCAGTCAAATCCAATTTTCCATTATAAAAAGCACGTTTAGTGAATTCACCAGGTGTTGCTGGTTGAAAATTTAACTTCGATAATGCAGACATCAGTGCTTCTAAAATAGCTGAACCTCCATGCACTTGAAACTCTACACTATCTTCACCAGTAAATGAATTTGGACCTTAAAAAGAAATTAAAGTTATCATTCAATGAATGTGGTAATCATTAAGTAATTTGTACTTATATAAAATGAATGTAGCTTTAACAATGTAATTTAGTTTACTGCTCATTTATTTAATCGAGTAATTATTTACCAGGAAACCACAGACATAATCCTTTATCAATTATTTCTTTATCATCTGGGTGATAAATTTTTCTCAAGTAAGCTCTCCTTGGTTCTGGATTTGATAAACTTGTCATTCTTTTCAATGCTTCTGATGCATTGTCTCCAGAAATTCTTATTACTGCTACTCCACATTTTCCTTGGCCTGAAATAAAAGTAAGAAACTACCCTAAAAATGTGCTGATAATTACTTCAAGTTCAACTCTATTTGAACATGATTAAATTTAATGTCAAAAAGGATAATTATTTTATATGGAATACAAATGATGTATACAGATCATATAACAACGAAAACATAGAGTCAAATAAACAAACAATAATTTTTAAATGGTTAATATACATACCTGAAGACAACGCATAAATTGTAGGAGTAGTTCCACTCCCTCGAGCTGAGAAGATCCCGCCAGTATCGCCTGAATGCGTCGTGCAGGCAACAAGTCGTAATAAGATTTGTTTACACCAATTTTTACGTAATATTATCATTGTTTTTACATAAACAAGTATTGTCAATTGTTTATTTATTAATAATAATCAATTAATTCATAAGTTTGATATTTATTACAGGCTTACTTGCTGGAATATTATGATACAAAAGTGAAAATTGTACAGCATAACATTGGTGGTGTTGATAGAAAATCATCATGGCGATCGCTCAGTGCTAAACAGACGACCAACATAGAAGCTAAATTTGAGGGTATTTAAAAATTAAAGACCAATATTAATATCGTTATTTCAGTAATTTAATTCATATTGATTGTTTTCAATATTCTAAATTATCATTTTTGACATGTATCAATAAAAAAGGCGGGCTTTTTAAACTCATTCTTTGTCAGCTGACGTTTCTAGATTCTTTCATTGTTGTGAATGTTAAATATATATTAATTAATTATATATTATTTGATTATTGATTTTAATTATTGTTCTAGGTACTGATTAAAAAAAAAATTAAAGACTGAAACAATAGGATCATAATGGCAACGCCTCCAAGAGAATTAACAAAAAATGAAGAAATTAAAGAAAGATGTCAATTATGGGTGAAATCTCAAACTGAATCGCACCCTTTATCTAGTCCTTTGTGTTCTGAAAGAGGAGCCACTTGTGAATTAGATGATTGCATTGATACAGATTCAGAATTTGATTCTGTTTCGGAATGTGGTGGTATCAAGAAAAGACGAATAACTGTGTCGTCTAAGGATGAAGTTCTTAATTTATTGTGTGAATGGAAAAATTGTAATTTTAAGAGCATATCCCTCGATAGTTATACACGTCATGTAGCTCTTCATGCACCACATCTAGAGATTAAAACAGTTGATGATCAACAAGTTTACGCTTGTCAATGGAAAGGGTGTGAATATTTAGATGAAAATGCTGCTAAAATCACTAGACATCTTAATTATCATTCTTATCATACTAAATTAAAAGTGCTGGGCGCTAATCTCAGAGGAAAAATCAAATTACCGGTAAATATCAATTGAGTTTCATGGAAAAGATTATTGCAATTTTTTCTATTATATATTTTTTTTAGAAATGCCAACGTGAATCAATGACAACCAATGTATTTGACCCAACGCCCATGATACTCTGTCAATGGGGAGAATGTTTAAAATCTTTTAATAACTTTCAATTGTTTTTGTACCATGTTAGCCATCATCTAGAGAATTACCCACGTGGAAATAAAGTTGAAGGAGGTGTAAAATGTGAATGGGTGGGATGTAAAGGAAATTTTTCAAGTTTTCATAAGCTTAAGGATCACATAAAATGTCATACCAAAGAAAAAGTAGTTGCCTGTCCAACCTGTGGAGCAATTTTTGCCTCAAATACCAAGTTCTTTTATCATTGTCGTCGTCAAATTTCTATCGAAGGTAAGATAATAAAAACAAAATACAGTATTAGGAATCCTTAGAAATTTTTCTCATAATAATCAATATTTTACAATTATTTTTATTCATAGTTCAAGGATTTCAATGTTCTTACTGTACCAAATTCTATCCCACTGAAAGAATTCTCCGAGAACATATGAGATTTCATGTATTTAAATATAAATGCAATAAATGTGATATGAGTTGTGAATCTCCAGCAAGTTTAGCCAAACACATTCGATACAGGCATGTTTCTTCAAGACCATTTCACTGCCAATTATGTTCACATTCTACTAAATCTCAACAGGATCTTGATTCTCATATGACAGTACACACAAATGGTCCCAATTTCTTCTGTAATAATGAAGGGTGTACTTATACATGCAAGAATGCTTATGTACTTGACAGGTAATATTAAGAATTGATTGAATATATAAAATAAAACTCTGTGTGATTTGTTGAAATAAATTTTATTTAGCTTTATTTTATTGCAGACATATTGAAAGAGTTCACAGATCAGAAGTTCGATGGTATTGCTGTCATGAATGTCCAATAAAATATAGAAAGAGTTATACACTCACAAAGCATTTGATAGAAGCGCATAACTTACAGTGGCCTACAGGTCACAAACGTTTTCAATATACAAGAGATGATGAAGGTTGCTATAGATTACAAATGGTAAGATACGAATGCTTCGACGAAGATGCTGATGATTCTGACAAACAGATAGGCCTTCCTGATAAGGATTACAAATTAAAAATTGATTCAAATGCCGAAATTCCAAGGCTGGAGGTAAATGATGTTAAAAAATTGGACAATTCATTATTTTACTCAAGATAAATTTCAACATAATTTTCATGATTATTTACAGATCGTAGAAGACAAGGGAGAAGATGACAGTAATACAGCCTTGGAAGTTAATACAGATGTGGATGACAATATTGGAAAGTCAATGCCTGTTATTTCAAATATTTTGATCTCTATTGACGAGTTAGATGCATATGGAAATATCATCGATAGCAAAGTAATTGAAGCTCAAGAAACAAATGTTTTACCTCCTTCGGATGAACCTCCCATTATTTTAACATAGAAATATAGTATTTTAAAATAGAATTAGAAGAAAAAACAAGTATTTTTCATCAATTGATTATTTTTTATAAACTTTCGTAGTTATAAGAAAATGAACAGTTTGGAGTTTAAATAATAATAAATTATTTAATTTTCAATATTTTTTGGTTTTCAACTCATGAATGCTGAGTAAGTTTTTCATTATAAAAAAATGCATTTGGTAAAAAGCTACGTATTACAGAATTTTATATCAATTTCCGTTTAAATTCGACTAGACTTAAATAAACCATATCCAATTAATTTTAACAATCAAAACTAAATTCATTCTCATGTAAAGTATTCTTAATTTAAATTCATGTAAATACTTTTCTTGTATCGTTCATTATGCAAATCAGACAACAGAATAAAATTATTTTATTTTACTAAACAACAACAAAGCTTTCATAATTTTCTTTTCAATACTTAGAAAAATATCTTATCAAAGCTAATAAATATAAAAAATTTATAAATATATATATGTATATATATATAATCACGATTTCAAAGAATAAAAGATCAATCGCAAAATAAATAGATTAAACTGACCAAAAATCGGTGATCAGCAACCAAGGAAGAATAAAAAAAATTAATTGACAATAAGCATTTAAAATTAATATAATAATTACTGATGCGATCATTTACTGGTAAATTGCGAAGTATGAGAAAAATGCTTAGACCTGATGATCAAGTAAACGATCATCTCGACGAAATGAATAACGTGGTGGATTATGACAAGGAAGCAACCAAAAAATTGGATGACTTTTGCCGCATACTTGAGAAAGAAGAGTGAAGGCGCGACGAGATTTATGATGATGATAATGGTGGCCACCTTGTAGACGCTCTATTGCAGTTTCATCACCGAGGATTGCTTGAAATTGATCTACTAATATCGCTACCACGAACATTCCGAATAAGGCTGATTCCAGTACCAAGATAACGGAGTGGAGACTGTAACAAAAATATAAAAAATAAAATATTGTATTTCCTCTTATTATCGATGATTAAATTAACATTTTATGAGCAATGATATCAACTTACATCCTGCTTTGTTTTACCGTTATATCAGTGCTGCATTCTGGACACTCAGATACCCAAGATACAATGACCAAAGAAATTGCATAAATAGCTAGTATTCCAACATAAACGAGGAATTGAATAAAATACTTTTGATTTCTTTCTCCAACACAATTATTAATCCTATAATATTCACAATGACTTAAAATTATTTTGAAAGATTTTAAAATGTATTCATGTATATAATTTGAAAATTATCATTGTTTTCTACCATGGACAATGATGATCCATTCGTCTTATACATCTCTCACAAATTCTACAATGATGAGCTCTAGGGGGTCTATAAGTTTCACATCTTGTACAAACACTCCAATCATCTCTTTCTTCACAATCATCGCTAGCCCCTGAACCACCTGTGTGAATATCTGAAAAATCCATCCTTGTCTGTGGCAAAGGAACAACTCCTGGATCACTGCAGATAGCTTTCAGGTGAGACATCATTAATAGGAGAAGTATAGTATTGAAGAATATCACATGAAATGGACCCCACAAACTGCAAGAAAGCCATTCAATATAAATTAATAAAAATTTGTAATAATCAAGCTTTCAAATATCTGAATAATAGAATACTGACCTATCTTGCATAGTATGTAGGATAATCCATCGTATCACAACATAGTCTGCGTAAAATACAGCGACATACGTCACAAAAATGCAAACGATTCCGCATGGATCTTTCACAAACATTATTGCTCGTTAAATAATCAATGAAGGATACTTCAACTCCCAACTCAATCAAAATAACAACAAAATAATTACACGATAATTGCTACCCATTTAAAATCGTTTTTCTCTCATGTTTATCAATACAACTTTCTGCTTCGTGTCTGTTAAGTAATCAACACATTTTTTTGTTTCAATCTAATTAATCAAACAATCGCTCCAATTTATCAAGCTAAATCACACACTTAACTGTAATTTATATAACATCAAAATATCCAGTCAACACAAAACGTTACGTTTATTTCTACTGAAAAATCTATTTAAATTTCCAAAATAACAATCAATAAAATGAGTATTTATTTGTTGATATGTTCTTAATAAATAAATGATTGTTAACAACAATGTATGGTTATAATATACAAATACAATTATCGTGGTTGTCAGTTAGCAAATAAACTGAATAACATATGGCGTTAGTTTTTTTTCACTAGAAAACTTTCTTGGAACTTGTTTGCTTTTTCCATCTCTGAACTGTCAGAATTTGTTTATTGTTATAATCAGCAGTGGGCGACACTTGCCAAAGCCAATCATCAGTCGGTACTGATTTTGTATTTTCGCGCCACCAAATTATTAAACAGCTGTTCGCAGTGAAGTTATCTAATCGAAACTTCAACTCCAATCGATATTCCAATTCAAAACATTTGTTTCCGGAATTCAAACTGATGAAAAAAAACCAATATTTTAGATTCTTTTCATAAAATAAATAATACATTACATGCAAAAAAAATGTTCATTCAAAAATGATGATCACAGAGTATTCAAAGTAATTTGAGTTAAAAAATATGATAAAAATAAAAATTAGGGGTGGGGAAAAAATGACAGTAGAAGGGAGGCTTCGGATAATTTACGACAAATTCCGATGTCAATTCTTTGCTCATTTTTACTATAGTAATTTATTAGAGTAAATTCAGTACAGTTTTGCAATTGGAGCAATTGCAATGAAAGTATATGGTTTATTACTTTGAAGTGTCATTATTTCTAAAAAGTTTACTTTTTAAATGCATATAAGTGCATAAGTACATACATATATATACATATAAACACATGTATGTATATTCATTGATAATTCTCACGAATTTTGTTTTTTATGAGTAAGAAAGCACCGTTTATTATTTTTTACAACAATGAGAGATTTTTAAGAACTTGAACTGTAATAAGTGAGTGTATTGAACTATGGGTGGAGTCAATTTTAGTTGGGTGTTTTTAAGGAAATGAAATGGAAATATAGTCTAAATAATTTGTTAGTTTAAATCTTACTGTATTACGTCAAGCACAATGGCCCGCTCGATTCTTCCTAGTCAGCAGAAATTAGCCGAAAAAGTAATTATCCTCAATGACAGAGGTATAGGAATGTTAACTCGTATTTATAATATCAAAAAAGCTTGTGGAGATGCTAAATCCAAGCCAGCTTTTCTTTCTGATAAAACTCTTGAATCATCGATCAAGTTGATAGTCAGAAAATTTCCTAATATAGATATAAAAGGATTACAAGCTATCACAAATTTACGAAATGAAATTATCAAGTCATTATCTTTGTATTATTACACATTTGTTGATTTATTAGATTTTAAAGACAATGTTTGTGAATTATTAACAACTATGGATGCCTGTGGAGTACATATGGATATTACAATTAATTTTGATTTTACCAAGTTATATTTAGATCTAGTTATTACATATGTCAGCTTGATGATTTTACTTTCAAAAGTAGAAGATCGAAAAGCAGTTCTAGGTCTTTTTAACGCAGCACATGAAATGGTTCATAGTCAGTCTGATCCTAGTTTTCCACGATTAGGCCAAATGATAATGGACTATGATGTTCCACTGAAGAAATTATGTGAAGAATTTATACCACATGCAAAATTATTACGGAATGCATTAACATCATTATGGACTGTATATCCTGCAAAAAATTTATCAGCTGACTCATGGAGGGCAGACCAAAAATTAAGTTTAATTGCAAGTCCAAGCCAAATATTAAAAGCAGCATCAACTGATACAATGTCATGTGAGACATTAAGTTTGGACAGAATTGAAAGATGGATCATTCTTGGGTTTACACTGTGCCATTCATTCTTGAATCAAGAACAATCAAGTAAATTATGGACTACTGCTTTAGAGTCAAGATGGGTTTTGCCACTTTTTCGTGATGAGGTAATATATATCCATCAATATATTCAATCTTTTTTCGAGACTATCAAAGGATATGGTAAAAGAATATCTGAAATTAAAGATTGTTACAACCAAGCTATACAAAAAGCTGGCTATCGTCATCGAGAAAGGCGAAAATTTTTGAGAACAGCTTTAAAAGAACTAGGATTAATTTTAGCTGATCAACCAGGTCTTTTAGGACCCAAAGCATTACTAGTTTTTATGGGATTATCTCACGCACGAGATGAAATTTTATGGCTTTTGAGACATGCTGATAATCCTCCCAATCAAGGAAAAGGAAAAGGTCGTGGTAATGAAGATTTGTTAGACAGACAACTTCCAGAATTATTATTTCATTGTGAAGAATTACGAGCATTGGTTAGAAAGTATTCTCAAGTTCTTCAACGTTATTATGTACAATTTTTATCTGGCTTTGATGCACCTGCACTCCATCAAATCATTCAAAGTTTACCTATTTGTCCAGAAGATGAAGGCGCAATTCTCAGTGATTTATGCTCAACGATGTCAAATGTTACAGTAAAACAAGTGGAAGATAATGAACTATTTGATTTTCGTCCATTAAGACTTGACTGGATAAGATTACAAGCATATATGTCAGTCACAAAATGTAACATGAATCTTATGGATAATCGTGAATTAGCAGCATTTATGGATACTGTAATATTTCATACAAAAATGATTGATAATCTTGATGAAATGTTGATCGAAACATCTGATTTATCCATATTTTGTTTTTATAATAAAAATTTTGAGGACCAATTCCATATGTGTATAGAGTTTCCTGCTCAAAATAGATATATTATTGCATTTCCACTTATTTGCAGTCACTTTCAAAGTTGCACACATGATCTTTGTCCTGAAGAACGACATCATATACGTGAGAGAAGTCTTTCTGTTGTTAATATGTTTCTTGATGAAATGGCCAAAGAAGCAAAAAATATCATTACAACCATTTGTGATGATCAGTGTAATATGAGTGATAAACTTTTGCCGAAACATTGTGCTCAAATGATTTCACAAGTAGTAAATCGCAAGAAAAAGGATAAAAATAAGAAAAATATTTACGAAATCCATAAACCTGGTATCGAGAGCTACAGAAAAACTCGAGAAGAACTCACAACAATGGATAAATTACATATGGCATTGACAGAACTTTGTTATGCTATTAATTATTGTCCTACTATAAACGTTTGGGAGTACACTTTCGCACCAAGAGAGTATTTGAATCAACATCTTGAAACTCGATTCTCGAGAGCCTTAGTTGGTATGGTTATGTTCAATCCAGAAGCTAATGAAATAGCAAAACCTTCTGAGCTTTTAATTAGTGTAAGATCATATATGAATGTGCTTCAAACTGTAGAGAATTATGTTCATATCGATATTACTCGAGTATTCAACAATGCTTTACTACAACAAACACAAGCACTAGACAGTCATGGAGATAAAACTATTGCTGCTCTATACACACAATGGTATTCTGAAGTATTATTAAGAAGAGTTAGTGCAGGAAATATCTGCTATTCTCCAAATCAACGAGCTTTTGTCAGTTTGTCTGTAGAAGGAGCGATACCTTTTAATGCAGAAGAATTCTCAGATATCAATGAACTTCGAGCATTGGCAGAACTTATTGGACCTTATGGAATGAAAATGTTGAATGAAACACTCATGTGGCACATCGCTAGTCAAGTGCAAGAATTAAAAAAGCTTGTTGCAAGCAACAAAGAGATTCTTATAGCTTTAAGAACTAATTTTGACAAACCTGAAGTTATGAAAGATCAATTTAAAAGATTACAGCATGTGGATAATGTTCTTCAAAGAGTTACAATCATAGGTGTTATATTCAGTTTTCGTCAGCTTGCTCAATCTGCTCTTGTAGATGTTCTAGAAGAACGTATACCATTTTTATTAAGCTCAATATTAGATTTTCGTCATCATCTACCAGCTGGAGATCCCATGCGAGTGGTTTCTGAAATGACATCTGCTGCAGGATTAACGTGTAAAGTAGATCCAACACTTACTACAGCTCTTCGAACTCAAAAATCTGAAGTTGATGAAGAAGAACATGTACTTTCTTGTCTACTTATGGTTTTTATCGCTGTGTCCATTCCAAAACTTGCACGAAATGAGAATTCTTTCTACCGAGCATCATTAGAAGGTCATTCCAATAATATACATTGTGTAGCAACTGCTATAAACAATATATTTGGAGCTCTATTTACTATTTGTGGTCAAAATGATATTGAAGATCGAATGAAGGAGTTTTTAGCATTGGCATCATCAAGCCTCTTGCGACTTGGACAAGAAGTTGACAAAGAAGCTACTCGGAATAGGGAATCAATTTATCTTTTACTAGATCAAATTGTTCAAGAGTCTCCTTTTCTAACAATGGATCTATTAGAAAGTTGCTTCCCTTATGCACTGATACGTAATGCATACCATGATGTATACAAATTAGAACATAATCAAATATAAAAAAATCAAGTAATTCATTGAAATAGATACAATAAAACTTTTTACTAACATATATGTTAGAGATAAGAAATATTTTTAATCATGAAGCTTGAGAGTACCTCTATACTGAATGTAGTGTTGAAATAGTAGCATTGAATACAAATATAATCGCAATAATTTATTTCTTTGATATACTAATTATCTTAATGTAATATTTAAAATTTAATTTCTTATAAATTCATTACAAAAAATTTTTTACTATTGATAAAAAAAAACTTGTCTGTAAACAAAAAAAAATGTTTTTTAAATACAATATTGTTTATAATTTAATATTTAACTGCATAGTTAATAAATTATGTAATCAATTCGTAGTTTTTTTACTAAGCCTTTTTACAAAATATTGTATGTGACAACAATAAATGTACAAAAAGAAAATGAATTTTGCAAATAGTTTTTTGGGTCAATAACTCTGTATTGAGAATTGAATTTTTAATTATAAGTAGAAAAAATAGTAGTTATTTTTTACGGTTTCTATTCTTTCCAATAATTAATTTTCACACCTGGAAAGTATGAGATAAATCAAAAAGAATAACTAGTAAAAAAAAATAATGATAGTGCCGATTTATGTATTTTTATGAATTATTACATGACTGGATAGTGTCTTACTCCAAGTCAAGGATAGAAAAAATTATAGTGTTTTGTTCAAGGTTTAGTCTTCAACATATACCGTTTCAATATTGCAAGATAACTAACAAACGTTAACTCCAATCTATCATTAATGAATTGATTTTGATATCTATTAGTAACTATATGTTGTTAATAATTTTTTACGAATATTTATTAAATCTATTCACAATTTTCTTTGGTTAAATACGTACACAATTATTAGTATTTAAAATTTTCTATTAATAAAACAATGAACACTTTATCAGAGTTATGAAATATCTCTTACAAACAAAACAATAAAATATCTCTCTTTCTCTCTAATTACAAAATTAAAAAAAAATATATAGATTATTTAAGTACTTAGTTTTACATGTATACAAAATTTATCTAGAAAAGTATCTTCATTTGGCATTTTCATAGAATCAAATAAGGGATCAATGATGCATTTTGTAATCTGCTTCTCATTGTCTTCAGGCTAAAATAGAAATATTTTAACTAGCCGACGATTCGTTATGATCAGCCCACCGAACCCTTCGAGCAATTTCGAAATTTCCTCCGTGAATTCCATAAAGATGTCTTGCTAAGATATCGGCTCTATCTTCTTCAGCTTTTCTCGCTAATTTTCGATATCTTCGAATAACATAAATGCAAGTCACGGTTAAAAGGATTTGGACTATAAGCCAAAAAATCAATAAACCTAAAGCTAATGCCGCATTTACACAAAGTAGACCGTCCATGGATTCTAAAAAAAATTATATACCATGTTTACATAACATTATACACAAAAATAAAGATTAACAAATGCATTTAAGAAAATACTTACGTTCACCAGCGATGAGAACAGTATCAGGTCCTTTTCCTGCTCTCAATGGATCAGCTGCAACTTTAGCATCTCTCACAGTGAGAAATGATTCAAGTGATAATTCATCAATTGTTCCATTAGTAGAGTTTGGATTAATTGCACTAATTGTAGTAATTGCTCTCTTAGGTTTTGCAAGGTAAATTATGTCATTTCGACAAATCGGAGGCTCACAATAAGTCAGGCAAAATCTGACAATAACATTAAACTTAACACGGTAACTTTCAGGAAATTTGAAAGCTGTGAAAGTTGATATTAATGATCTGTTATCTGTAGGATCTTTATGCAACCCTGGGAATATTTTAGGATCAGTTGGACAACCCATTTCATCTAGTAGAAGAATAGAATCTTGACCAGATGCGCTACTTGCAACAAGATGCCCTGCTGAGATATCATAAGGACCTACAAAAAATTTTTAATTTAACAAAACCATGCGAGAAATATTTTTAAATCATTTTTTACCATTTGGTGGAATGATTTCAATTTTTAGAGTAAGTCTTTGGCCCAGCTCAGCAGACGTAATTTCATTCATGTCGTTATTGAGGATTTTCATTATAACTAAAGGTGGATCAGTTGTATTAAATACTGTCCCAGTTACTGGTGGTAATCCAGCACTACATGAAAATAATAATAAAAAAATATCATCCACATAAGATATTAAATTAAATTAAACTAAGCAAATACGTACTCGACATCCAAAAAACTAAAACTTGAGCCAACAGTAACATTTCTTGGATGAGGAACTTCTCCACTATCCAAAGTACATCCAACTCGGAGTGACTGATCACCTTGACGTTGAATTATTGGATTGAATTGCACGACAACTGTCACCCAAACTGCGGTTCGTGTTCTATAGTCATAAGAATGAGTTATTAAACATGATGAGAATATTGATGAGTATTAAATCAATAAATAGACAACTCACTGATTGTCATCATCAATGGCAAAAGCTGGAAGGATTCCACAATCAAGATTTCCCATTGCTATTTGATCTTTGCTAGGTAATTTAAGCTCTAGAATAGTCGCATTTGAACCATTTCCTTGAACGTTACATGTATCGCTATATTTATTGGCATAAAGTCTTCCAACAAACGGCTCAGGTGTATTCAACTCGATAATTAAACTTGTGTTGCCACAAGAGACTTTTACTGAAAAATTACATAGGTATTTATTACAAAATATGTGATAAATGTAACAAAATTAAAATTCAAATAAGAAGAAAAAAATGTTTCAAAGCCTTCACCTAAATATTTGATAGAATAGTTAGATGGATATTGACTTAATCAGTCAATTAATGTAGATAATAATAAAATTAATTGATACAATAAGAAGTTATAGGATAAATTAGAAAAATAATGAACTTACGATTAAGACAAGGTTCTCGTTCTCGGTATACGACATTGTTTCTTTTTATAAGTGAACTCACACCTGCGCTTATTGTATCATCAGAATGTAATAAGCAAACAGGTGAATCTTGTATTTCATAATTCACAGTGAATCCGCGGCATATAAATCCATCATTTGCTGCGTTACATCTTTCCTCGCACTGTTATTTAATGATTAATCATAAAGTTTTATCAGTAAAAATGATCGACAATAAAAAAATATTCACAATATTACCTGTCGTTCATTTAAATTTGATAGTTTTATATCTGAATAAGGTAGTGTCATATTTTTAAATTCCGCATATGAACAATAATCAGTATTTGCTGAAATTAAAAATTAAAAAATCATTTAAATAAACAGTTAGTGTTAATTAACATTTCATAATCTATTGATTTAAATATTTACACAACTTATGGCACTCAGTCTCCAAATATTCATCACGGTACATAGAAGCTCTGTAAGCTTGAGGTCTAGTTCCTCTTTGTATAGATAAAAGAGCACATTTCCCATTAACATCACCAATAGCAAGAGGCTTACTGGTTTGAAATTGAGCAGACTTACATGCTGGACCTAGAATAATCAATGATTAAAAAAGGCTAGAACTTTTTTGTATCATAAAAAAGATTATATCTTGCCTGCTGCTAGACATTGTTGATAACATTGACTTCTGGTCATCACATCAGGTAACCAGTTAGCTGCAGCGTCTATCAGGATTGCACCCAAGGTTCTTTGAACTTGCCATAGTCTGTCTATATTGCACTGTTGTAGAACTAATTACCCACAAATTATTTCATTATTACTATGATGAGTCTTTAGATGATAAGATTTACGTAATTTCCTCGTAAAATTATCTAAGTTGAAAATTTTTTGTTACCTTCTTTTAAGCATATTTTATGAAAAAAAATGGAACTCGGTGCCAGTACAAAGTCTTCACTACTTATCATGACCTTCGAGCAAGTACTTTGAACGATATCGACGTAAAATGCACTACAATTTGCTTTCAAACACCTTTAAAAAATATTTTTCTTGATTATTATTTTCTATTTAGTTAACAAAAATGTTTTTATATTTATTGGTATTATTTATTTGTTTTCAATATGAATACATGAATATCAAAAGAAGTAAGTATGCAATGTACCTGTCAAAACAAATGTTAATAATTCCATCAGAGTTCCCACTACTGTAAAGAATATCACCAGGTACATAATTTTCCGGCATCATTCCATCGACCTTCTCCCATCCTTGACAATTTTGTGAATTGACTATGAATCAAAAAGTGAAATGAATTAAATTAAATAGCTTCTTTAGAAAAACTAATGCAATGAGAAATCAATCATGTGCAACAGTAGGAGCACGTGGTTATTCAGCGGAGCGAATCAAAGATTAAACTTACACTAGGTCGCGATTGTAGGAAAAAAAAAACAAGCACATTGGACACTCACCTAACTTGATGTTGATGATCAAGAGAGTGGATATTAATTTAAATACAATATTTGGCATGGTTGTTTTGACACAATATATACACTAATTAAATAAATTTAAAACACTTTAAATGTTTAATAAAGTGAAAGTAATTTTGTTGTTAAACTAATTAGAATCCTGTCAAAGTGATCTTTGAATGAATTTCTTATGTCTCGCCATTCTCATGCGAATGAGACTCATCGTTTTAATTATTGTTACATAACACTCGTGACACGTGGATTATCGTATTATTGTGAATAGAGAGCAACAAATAAGGAAGAAATAATAAGAAGACGATGATGAACAGGATATACTAATTAGTCAACAGTCATCACCTATGATAAAATAATTATACAAAGTTCTCCACCACTTGATCACTATTTTTTCCAACTGCTTTCAACACTTCTGAAGAACTGACAGACTGCATCAAAAGTCTAATACATCTACACTCTTTGAGCTCAGGATTCGAACTAGGAAAATCAAGAGAAATATCCAACAGTCAGTGAGGTTTACGTAAAACAGCTTTGTTTGCCTAGTAAACGCAATTGGGTCACTTATTTTCACGCATCGTAGCAAGGTTTCGTTATCCGGCTATCATTTACCAGGTCCTTTAGTTTGCTCATCAATTTAGTTATTGATATTTCTGTATTAATGTCACATTTGATCAAGAAAATAAGTAGAACTCGAACACGATATGTGGCAATAGTTTGTAATGATTACAAATTTTATTATTAGTCTTTAGGTATCAAACTTATCACTTATTTTGCATCACAATAAAAAGAATGACGAGACGGCGATTGAAATGACGTGACAGAGCCAGTGGAACGTGAGCAAGTGTCTGCACAGTCAACCATTCCGAACATTAAATGCAACACAGAGTGGAAGACTGGGACACCTGTTTAGGTTCAAATGATTTCACGGATTCTCCCATCAAGCTTTATGTTTGATTCATTTTTATGTCGACTTGGAATCATTTTCAATTTTCCTCGCACTTTCTGTTCATGACACCTGTGTTTACTTGAGCTATAATAAATGACTTACTGATAAAATACCACCTAGCATAGACGAAGAAGAATTGTTTAGTCAGGTATAGACGATGGCAGAGAAATCGACGATTGAATATCATAAATATTTAATTTTCATCTTTCGAAATATTGTACTAGGTAAATCGTGGATTTAGGAAACAACCCGGTCTTTTATTCATCCTGACGATTTTTAATGAGTAGTCTGGTGGGTGCGCTCCGCTAACTCTCTGGATGTCTTCCCTTCTCACTCACTCCAGGAGACTGATCTTCATCATCTGGGTTTGAAAATCGGAAGTTACGTGGAATCAACGATAGTCTTATTATTATTCTAGTGAATAAAGAAAATGAATTTTTAAGTCAAGTATTGTTCAAGGTTGTTTTATTTTGTTTTAAGTCTATTGAGTTCAAAGAGTTTCATTTTCATTTACTGTAGCGTTAACACCTATTCAATTAAGAAGGAAATATTAATTTTATTATCAAGGATATTAGAAATAAGTTTGCTAGATAGCCATTCAATAGATAATGATAATATAATTTCATGGAAATATAATTATTGTACATAGATATGTATATAATTTTTTGATAACAGTTCATATATCTTATTGAGCATGTGTTGAGCATACATGATAATAAATTGAACTATTTTTTTCATGCATAGGAGTAAATATTTGAATTGAACAAAAATATTCTCCTTATTACAAAATGTTTACAGTGTAAACTGAAGTCTTTCCTAATTGTTGCTCAATGATTCCATACCTTTCATAGTCCACTTTATACCCACATGATTTTAGTACCGAAACTCCTTTTGAAAGATGTCCGATCTCACATCAGTTATTGCGAAAAATGCGTGAAACTTTGAATAAGATGTGGAATAATGCAAATACACCTGAGCATTCGTTTCCATGCTTGACGATGCTTAAAATAAATTTTCTGTTGTAATCTGCCTTTGAAGAGTAGTCAAAAAAAAATACGTTGTAGTTAGACTTATCATTCATGAGTCTTCTTCAATCTTGTATTTTTTTTTTTTATTCTTATTCAATACAGCTTTCTATTACAGAGTTATTTTGTTTGAATATAGATGTGAATACTGATCTATCCATCAGTTACAACTCCTACAAATGACACCTATGTCATTATGTTTTACCTTCTATAAGTGTTTAATTACTCATTAACTGTACAAGTAAGAGTTGCAACAAAGTCTTCTAATGTTTGTCAGCAAAGCAATTTTATTTTTATTTCTTTTTTCCGGATAATTCTTGGGTTATTGCTTCGTATTGAGAAAGACTGAACGCTTTATGCGGGCTTAAGTTGATGCCCGGATGTAATGAAAGGTTGTAGGTCAGTAGGGAAAGTTCAGACAATGAGTAAGAGTCATACATTTGTTTTTTGAAGATGTACAAATAATTGAGGTCTAATTTGCATATATTTTTAAAAACGTGTGTCATCAATGAAAACCTACAAAATATTAAAAAGGTTTCAATAATGATATTACAAAACCCTGAACATTTGATAATTTAAAATAACCGGATTACCTGAATCCTGTCATCAAGGGCTGCTCGTAACATCCGTTTCCTTTACTCTACCTTGGCATTCCGCTGCATCATAATCATATCAGTATACAAAATCTCGTACTCGATATAAATATAACATTGAGAACGTGCCAATGCAAGTGCAGGATAGCGTAACATACTTTTCTAATGGTCAATTTTTATATGTAAATTTATTTTATAATAAATAACCATTTAAAAAACAAACGTTAAATAGTTTAAAAAATTTTATCTTAAAAAAAAACCAAGCATTGAAGACTTCAACTAATAGAATTTTAATTATTATGCCGGAATTGTAAAAGAATTATCATGTACGTTATCATTGTGCTGAAAATCTAGAAAAAAAATCTTTCATTGTTAAACTTATTTGTGTTTAAAAGAAGACTTTTATAGTATTATTTAAATCATTCTTACGGATCTTAAAAGACTATTGTCGAGAGGGAATAACCCACAGGCACTGAAGTAGATGTGTTGATGTAATAATTCCACAGAGAATTGTTCGAGCTGTCAAATAAAAATAAATTTTACTTTTATTTCAAATATCTTACTTTTTATCTATTCTAATGCTCACTTCGTATTTTATTTGTGAATGAGTTTCATTTTCAATTATTGCTTTGTAGATTACGTAACTCGTTTTTCTCATCTAAAACAAATTGTTGAAAAAAAAAATTTTTTCAATTTTTAAACACAAAAAAATTATTTTATCAAATAAAAAATGTACTTATATACCTGGAGAATGATGTTGGTGACATTAGTCGTCAGAACAATAATTGGAAAGGCGGGTCTTATAATCCATAGCCAAGAATTAACTATTCTAAGTGTTTCAGTATAATTCATTATATCTGCTATAAACCTGTAGCAACTGTATATAATTCCAAAACAATAATAAGATAATGTTACTAATATAGGCCATGAATAAAAGTCAGAGATATCACGAGTAATTTCATAGAGATTTCGATGAGCTTGTCGAAGACCACTGAAATTTTTTATTGCTAAATTTTTCCTCATGATTATTGCATAATCACCCATTTCAATTGTACTATCAATTTGTGACAATGTAGGCATTACAAATAATTTATTCAATGTTTTAAATTTCTTTTCAATAAATGATAGCAAAAGTGAATACTGCAGTAAAAGACATCCAAAAATAAATACTGGAATGGTAAATATAATTACGTTGATTTCACCTTTGACAGGAGCAACTATCAGTTCAGTTATTGTGTGTATTATAGCAATTATAACGTGAACACCAAAAATGAAACATTCTTCATACTCGTAATGTTTCAGTCGATTATGAGGTATACAAACGTTTTTCAGGCCTTCACATTGATACTGAAGAAGTTTATTTCCTATTTTTACCATAGATTGTTGTTTTAAACAATAACTTATCATCAAGTTAACAGCAACACTGCTAATAGCAGCAGTGAGTCCAATTTCGTAGATGTTTTCGACTTTTTTTTCTTCTTTAGATAATTCAGCCGCCAACGTTGGCATGATGACAAATGCTATGGTTATAAAATAGATAGCTAAAAAAATGTTATAAACTGATCCAATAAAGGAGTAATTAAATTTCAAGTCCCACTTGGTTTTATTTTGATCATCGGATGTAATACTTAAAGTAAAAGGAGCCAAACCGAGAATTTTAAACATATTAATTGTTAAAGATAAGAAATTAATATGAGACTGAGTCGATTCATATTCGAAAGTCCTAGTATTTTTTGACATTGTGTATTGTTTGTTTGAGCACTAACTATGTTAAACTGATTGTTTTGTTGAAATATGAATTCGGAAGCCACTGTCTGCAAGGTGTCAAGTTCTCACGATGACGAATCAGTAGTAGTTTAAATAATTTATTTAATGGAAGTTGTAACTACTCATCAGCTATAAAAAGGAGATTTTCCGAAGATAAGATTAAAATCGATTGATAAACTCTAAAAGGTGAATATCCTTTCAGCCAGTGTTTTGGCTTTTGGAGATAAATGATTTATTTGAACAAATTATTAAACTTTTTTTTGTAACTATAATTACAGGTCTGGAGAGTATCTTCTTGGATTTGAATGGTTTATATAAATAAATTATACATCTCGGAAGTTGATTCTATAGTATTTTATTTACATACTAACTCTACTCACGTCCTTGTGATTATATAATTTTTTTATTTATCGTTATTGACCCATTCTGGTGAACAGAACATTAACTGTTGCTTTAATCATTTTTCTGATTACTTAAGATCTTTTTTCAATAAATTAATTATAAAGAAATGACATGGATTAACTGGAATGTAATCTTTATTTTGTAATGTCCAGGCTTACATTGTATTCTTTAATCCTTGTTAACTTATACTTCAATTTCGAACCATTTAAAATCCAATTATTCGTTAAATAATACTTTTATAAAGGAAATTATTAACTCCATCCTTGATTTAAGTTGTCACATAGAAAAAAAAGAAAATATTATAACAACATGGCAGAAATACTTATCAAAATAATCTGAAATATTGAACATTAGGTTTGGAACTCTTTCTTTTGTGTAACTTTATACGAACCTCTTTTCACGCTTAGTCGAATCATTTTAAGAGTAATTTCCTGCCGGGCCTAGCTGCGTCCGTTTGCTGGTTCACATTTAGAGTGGTTCTTTTTTTTTATATTCCCTAGTCTTTATGCCGGTCAATGGCCCGATAAGTATTCACAGATTTTGCATAAAATTGATCGTGATTTGTCAATGAATAATCGTGGGGTAGGACTAAATAATTGGGTGAAACGTGTAACTTAGTGATTTCAATCATGGGAAAAGTGAAGTAAATTGAATTCAATCATTGAAAACGTTTGCTTGAATTTAAAATTCTAATTATTTAGCATAACCCAATTGTAAACAAATTAAATAAAATTAATAAATACAACATTTATTATTTTTCCAATCAATGTAATTTTTTTTTTTTACTTAAATCTAAGGGTTGCAATAGCAGATTTATAGCAGCAATTAAGATATTTACGTAATATCTTTCATTAAAGGATGTATTGTTAAAATTACATTTATGTATAATAATTATTATAATAATAGTTTTAATCATCATGATTATTATATTATATACATGTGTATCTATATGCTTGTATACACAATCAAGTATTTGAAAAAGATAAAATGATTTTTATTAATAAATTCATTTACTTTGTAAAAAAAATAGATAATCAATATATCAAAGCTACATAATTTATTTCGATTGTGTGTACATTCACATACTTCACGTGCTGAGTTTTATAGCGAAATAGTCATTTTATTTATCAGTATAACTGAAATATAATTTTGAGTCATTAGATTAGTATTAATATTTATTTTCACAGATTTAATTTTTTTTTCTTTTTACGGAATGAATTGTGGTTAAAATAATCAAGTAGTAGCATAAAAATTAAGAAAACTTCAAAAAAATAGATCGACCAATGTTACTTATGTTATTAAAACTTCATTTTTTAGATGTAAAAGATCAGTCAGATTGCTTGAAAAAAAAGGTTTTGAATCGATAAACGTCGAGTGATATTGATCACTAACAAAAGCGACAATTATCGATATGTGAATGGTCTTTTTCTAATTTGTATTCAATAATAATCACAACAAATATTTTTTTATTACTTGCACTTACATTAACGTACGACAAGATTGACAAAACTGATGATAAAATTTGTGATTAAAATTTTACTTGCTTTATTCACACTAGTTTTAAATTCTAAATTGATTGTTATATGAAAAAATTATAACAATAGCCGTGACATAACGAAATTATACATCAAATTGTCTACGGCATAAATGTTTTTTTTCCATGCATTAACAATCTTGATAATCTATTCACAAATTCTAACATCAGTGAAGCCAATAGTGATTCCTTGAGTGTATTTTTTTTTCAATATATTTTTTTTTATTACTAAATGTTTGTTTTTTGCTATTTGCATACTTAATTCTGCACTAAAACTTTTGCAGGACATTTCATTTTCTATACTAAGCCGTGTGATTGCCACTCAATGAGGAAAATTAAAAGAAAATGTGAGAGGAAATGATTGTAGAAGATAATTTTACAGGTTTATAGAATAATATATGTTATTAAATATTGTATCGAATTGGAAACCAATCATCTTTTCGAGATGATTGATTCTATAGTTCGATGCTTAAATTTAATAAATGAAAATATTTCAAATTTATTACAATTAACAAAAGTACCCCCTTTTTAAGAATGATTATATCAATATTTAATTCGATTTTTTTCTAGATAAAAGTTTTTCAATACCTCAATTCACTTCATCATATATGCTTGAAAAAATGTTCTGTTTTTGTTGGATTCTTCGATTGGAATTAATTTACTAGGGAAATTAAATAGAGCAATGAGAAACAATTTCTGTGCATCCTCAGCTGTCTCATAGCAATAATTCCCTCCATAAACATACAGAGATTCTCACTAAGCATACAATCTGACCTGCATAGTTTTTTCCCCATTTATGATTGATTAAGTCATCTTTTGTAATCTTTATAACCCTAACAAGCACAAGAATCACCTTTGCCATTGGATCTTTGGTCATTAGTGAGTTTAATCTGATCTGGAAACTCGTTATAAAGTTCCACCTGAAAATTTTAATCTCAGCTTTAAAAACATTGAATAAAAAAAACATCATCAAGATTAGAGACATAAGCAAGTGAAAACTTTTTTACAAGTTGGAAGTAGTTATTTTTTAAAATAATTAAAAATGAACATAGACATTTAAATAAATCAAGAGACTTAGTATTAAATAAATTACCTCGCTCTCTTGAGCCAAAGCATTTTTTGCTATCGTTTGGAAAGCTTGCTCGACGTTGATTGCTTCCTTTGCACTAGTTTCAAAGTACGGAATATTATTTTTTGATTGACACCATTGATGCGCCCTTTTGCTGGAAACCTTGATAAATTTTTTATTTAATTAATTTAACCAAAATAAAAGAATTCTTTTAAGACCAATTCATTCCAAACTTACTGCTCTGTTCTCGAGATCAACTTTATTGCCCAAAACAACAAATGGGAAGTTATCTGGGTCTCTTGGTGATGCTTGAATTAAAAATTCATCTCTCCAAGAATCCAGGGACTTGAAAGAAGTTGGAGCAGCAACATCAAACACTAAAACACAACAATCTGCTCCTCGATAAAACGCTACACCAAGTGATTGGAATCTTTCTTGTCCTGCTGTATCCCAAATCTTAAAAATGATAAAATATTAAAATAATATTAATTGCTAGAGTATTGAAACAAAATGTATGACAATATCTTTTCTTAAATTAAACAATTTTTACCTGCATAGTAACTATCCTATCGTCAACCATGACTTCCTTAGTCAAAAAGTCAGCTCCAATAGTTGCTTTATATTGATTACTAAATTTTTTGTTGACATATTGGTTCATGAGCGAGGTTTTGCCAACTCCAGAATCACCCAGGATGATAACTTTAAGGAGTACTTTCTTACGAGAGGCCATTTTGCAATCTCTTCTGTAATAAAAAAACTTGTTTTATTCGTTTGATAAATGATAATTTAGAGTACGATTAGAGAGTTAAAATGTCTACACGAAGCAAACTTAAATACTGTCTAGCGTGATAAAAACTTGGTAGAACTAACAATAAAAAAATAAATGAATGTAATTATGTAAAAAACAAAGCAAATAGAATGACTAGTAAGCTAATGACCACACATGAAATCTGATGATAAATGTTTTGTTAAGAAAAACAGTCATTGAATTCTATAATAAGCTAAATAAGATTGGTAATACACAGCTGTAAATCACATACATATGTGTAATGCTGTGATTACTTTAACAAGCTATGACACAATGACATAGACGAGATTTTTGGAAGAGAATATACGTGATTAAAGTTATTTATATTTCTATAACTAGATAAATTGGCATAAACTCGTATTACTTTGACGTCTTAAATTTTCCTTACAAACAAAGGAAAACAACTAAAACACTTATTCATATAGCTAATAGTTAATGAAATCACAATCCATGAAACTACCAGTAGAAAGTGACGGATTAAGAGAAAGCATCTTGGAGTAATAAAATTTTCATAGTTGAAGATTTATTCTTTTTCATTTATCTCAACTATTTTGTAATGAATCATCCAATAATAAGCAGAATCATACTCCCCTCTATGACGTAGATACTTTGAAAAAAATACTTCCGTTTAATCAAAAAACTCTAAACATTAAAAACATGTCAATTTTAATCAATTGATTCTTTAATATTAATAGCCAAAAAAGTATATCAATAATATCCATCGACAATAATCGATGAATAAAAGCTTATTAAATTACAATCAAATCAATTTAACTGTGATAGCTAAAACCTGTCAACACACGAAGTGGTTGTTACTTTCTTTTGATTAACCTTCTATTGGGAAGGATAAATTAACGAGACAAATAGTTTTAACTGCTTATTAATACATCTGAGTATAAATTTTAGGAACAATTATGATTGATTAATCAAATTACCTTTAATTTTAATGAAAATACGTAGAAATTTTCAGAACTCGACACAGTGCACACAAAGAAAATGGCGTATTACGAAACTATGTGTATGAGATTGACACTGGTGTCGTCACCTGTTCATATCGAAAATCGAGACCTCTCTCTTTTTGTTGGTCGATAGTCGAAGAAGCAATCGAACCACCATCAGAAGCTGAGTTCATGTTGTAGTTTAGTCAGTCAGGCGGCAATCAAGAGTCAGAAGACGTTTGAAATAAATTTTTTATTATATTAACAAAAAACATTTGAAATTGACTCAGGTAATTATTTCTTTCTTAGTAATTACAATTTTTCATTTGAATATATAAAAATTATCTTAAGAGTTAACCTTATATCAGGTTTGTCAATGCATTAATATGGTATCTTATTTATAATTCGAGCTGTAATAAATCAATATGGATTAACGCAGTTTGCTAAGTATACTCAGTAATTATATTATAATTTTTTTTTTATATTGAATGCAATTATTCAGAAAATTGTTGAAAAGTTGATTAATGCATTGACATCAGCAATGACGCAATTGTTTTTATTTGGCTTCTATTTACTAAATCTTTAGTTTTGCTTTTCAACTGTATAATATATACAGGTTGAAGAATTTTTTTCTTTTACAGGATTTATTTATATTTCTTTGGATTCTTACAAACATGCGGAACGGTGTTGAATTACTAGAAGTTTTGTTAAAAACATCAGAAAAAGCTGCTAACATTGCCAGAGCTTGTAGACAAAATGAATCTCTTTTCAAATTATTAATTCAAGAAAAAAGTGATGATGAAAAAAATCCTCGATTCTTTCGAGATTTTAAAACTCTAGCTGATGTTCTTATCCAAGAAACTATTCGACATGATATAGGGCTTGAGGTAATCTATTTTCTGTTAATATATTTCTAAAATAACTTTAAAGTACAATTAATGCGTAGTTGAAAGGCTTCGAACATTGTACAGAAAAAAACAGTTTCCAGAGCTAGCCAAAATGGTAAAAGGTGAAGAAAATAATGTATTCAGTAACACATTGGGTAAAACAGTCATTGTTGAGGTCTGCCCGACTATTGAAGAGACAACAAAATTATTAACTGAAGTACTAGATAACAATGAAACAACAGCAAAGATTTTAGCTGATGAAGTTCATCGAAATATTGCGCTCTCAGAAGTTCCAACTAAAACAGAACTTGATGGCTGTGATGTAAATATTAATATTGATGATCTCGGAATATGGATAGATCCAATTGGTAAAAAAAATGCATAAATTTTTTTATAAAAGAACTATATTATGTAAAATATTAAAAAAAAGAATCCTTTCAGATTCGACTGCGGATTATATAAGTGCAAACACTTTGATAGATGAAGCAACAGGTCTACATTTAAGTGGGTTGCGATGTGTTTCAGTACTTATCGGTGCATATGTAAGAAGTACTGGTCTTCCGGTCATTGGAGTGACTAATCAACCATTCCATAACCACGATGGTACTCAGTAAGTGTTTATTTTATTTTATCAACCAAGGATTTCCTTGAATTATATGATAATCAGAAAATTGTTTAGCATTCACTTCTAAAAGCAAAAAAAAAATCAAGTCTGCGAACAAAATTTCTATGGTAAAATAATATACCAATAAATTAAGTAAAATAATTTTAAGGAAATCCTCAAATTAAATTATGTGCATGGTTAAAATTTTGTATCATAAATTCAGATGGAAAGGTCATTGTTATTGGGGTTTTGTGAATGAAGGAAACAGTCAATATTCATTCTCCAAGCCTGATCTTCTAAACAAAGTAATTGTATTAAGTCGATGTGAGAATTCAGAGATAAAAGTAAAACTCTCTAATAGTGGATTCAATCTAATAGAAGTAGCTGGCGCAGGCTATAAAATTTTAAGTGTTGCAATAGGCCAAGCAGATGCATATATCTTATCGAAAGGCTCGACTTACAAATGGGATACATGTTCACCTCATGCAATTCTTCGTTCTCTTGGTGGAGGAATTTTAGATTTTGTAACATTTAGTAGAAATGAAGGTACTGATTGTGAAGTAAAATACTGTGATAATGAAGATGATCATTCCAATAAAGGTGGGTTAGTAGCTTATCGTGATACTGAGACGCTAGAAGCTTTACGAAAATCTCTAGTCTTGTTGACAAAACTTTAAATAAATGGATAGCTATGTAATTTTTACTGTTGTAATTTTGAATTTTATTGACAATATATTTTCAAATGTTAGGGTTCTATATGTGGAAAATATTTTCTTAAATCATTCATGTCCAAGAGGGTTTAAATTGACTTTATTGACTTTATTATTACTCTTGTTGTAAACATATTTCTCTCATAATAAATATAACGATTATAAATAGTTTCAGGAACAATATACATGTGTTAAAGTTTATTATGTTTAAAATGATAAATGACTGTCATATATGTACATTGATGAGTGTATATCTCTTAAAAATTTTAACTAATATATACAAATGTATTTTGATGTTCAAAAACAATATTTCTCAATATGTTTAATCGTATGTTGATGGTACATACGTATTGTATGGCATAGATGTTGAGCAATTTAAAAAATTGTTCATGTATATTAAATGTTTATAATTAAATTCAGTCAATTAATATTAAAAATTCTGATTTTTATAAATTATTTTTGTTTACAATAAACATTAATTGCCCAAGTTAACTACATTAAACGACATTGATTAATCTTTTTTTCAACAACAATAGTGGCTCTGTGCCATTTTTTTATTTATATATTTGAAAAAGTTTCTTAATTACTTTTTTGTTGTAATTCAACTTATTTCAATTGTTTCATTTTTTTGATTGTAGTTTTTATTAATTACGTTAAATTTATTTTTTACAATTCTTCTTCTCGTTGACTTTCTAGTTTGAATAGATGTCTTTGTGTTTCGTGCATTGGTTTTAATGTTTCCGTATTACGAAAGTTAGCACCTTTTATGGGAATTCCATAATTGTAATCAGGCTTCCTCCGAACACTCACGTATGTTGTACAAGTGTTTATTCTTTTTAAAGTTGAATTATTTGTACCATCAAAACCTAAAATATAACAAAAAGTTAACATAAATATTTGTTTGAAGTATCTAAAATTGAATTAAATTGATTAACTTCAAAGTACACAAGCTATTAAGAATTCACTTTTTTAACTAATTTTATTAAATCTCAAATAGTATAAAAATAATTTACTACAGCTAGATTATTCGAAATAAATTATTTAAAAAATTTTTTTGTATGACAATAAGTTTTCAATTTTAATTTTACTCTATTCCAATAAAACACATTAACTACTTCATTTGAATGCTATTGTTCGAACGAAGAAGTCCATTTTTTAACTATTTAATCGGTAATTTCATTTAGAATCTATTAAACATTGTGATATTGTCATAATGAACTCTATAATAATTTTTTTTACATTATGTATTGTTCTTCACATACTGTATAATGAAAATTGAGATACTGGTTATTAATTACTATTTTTAATTACAATCTTAAAAAATGAATAGAAATATTTTTCATTAATAAAACTCACAATTGTTATGTCCATCAAATTATTAAAAAAAAATTTTAAAAAAAAGACTGTAGTGAGTTCGAGCAAGCACGATAATTTGTCTTTTATTAATCAACTTAAAAAATGTTTTAAAAAAATTCTTTAAAGTTGAAAGTTTTCAATTTTAGTTTAATCGTAGCTAATAATATCATTAATCAATTTTTGACATTTACAAACAGATGTTTACTTTAATAAATTTGTTTCTTATTTATTTTTATGCTGACTATTTTTACTCGACTTAGTGGTGACATTAGATTCTAGTTAGAAGTCTACAAATCTCTTAGAACAGCTTGAATATTTCATGATATTGTGATCGATAAGTTGGTTCAAGCGAAAATATTAACATCAGATAAAAGTTTAAGCATTTAATGTTTAGATAAAAATATCATATCTTATTTTGTAGATTTCAAAGAACTCGGTTTCAACTAAATTAAGCTATTGAAAGATGAATAATTCAAAGAGATCAATTTCTGTGAAAAAATTTTCTCACAGAAATAAATTTAATCTGTACATTTCTTGTCGATTATGAAATTTTCCATTTTTATTCTTAAGATTTACCTGTAAGTGCAATAGCTGCAGTACTATTGTTCTGACTATACCGATAATTTGGTAAAAATCTGTGGACTCCTGGGACTTTAGCAAGAGCGATTATGAAGCCAGATCGGAATCTGGCATTCATCCAGCAATAAATGACTGGATTGTAACAGGAATGAGACATTGAAAGCCAATGAAGAGCTGCCCAAGCATACGGTAACCCTTTCCAATTGGATATACTCTCGTTGTTGTCGAGTACTAACTGAAACAAAGCCACAGTCTGTCAAGAACTTTGGTAATCACAGCAGGATATAATTAAATAAACTTTTAAATTATATTAATATCACTTCAACTACTGTCTTACTTGATCGATTAAAAGTCGACGAAAGTTAATTGAATTCAAAATTAATAAATAAAATTCGACTGAGAATGAATATTCTTAATTATTTTGCACAGATATCTATAGATATTTAAATGATGGAATGAATCTTTTGCTTCTGAAGGATACTATAATATAAAATTTTCGATCAACCTAAGTGCTATGACAGAAGTTATTTAATTATGAAATTAATACTTGACCTGTGGAATATTGAATTATTCTTTTCGAAATTACTAAATAGTTATTGCTTTAGGCATATTGTATAAATGAATGCTTAATAATGCAGAATTTCCAATTACGAACTAAATAAGCTTCAGTTTAATTAATTTGAAGCAATAGTTTGGGGGAAAATAAAAATATTAGTTTTAAAAATATTTTTTTTTTATTTTCAAACCTCTGTTTTATACAAATATGATTTAAAAATGATTGAAGGTTCAGTTACATACTTATTTTTAAACCATTTAGAAAAATATTTTTTATAACAGAATAAATATCATTTGAGTCGATTTTTCCCTTTATCATTTTTTTTTATGTACAAATAACATTGAAACTTTCATTTACTTAACCAACGTAACTCAAAAGACTTTAAAATAATGAGATTTCTCTTGGAACTTGAAAATAATTTATTCAGTTAGACTTTTTAATCTTTCCAATAGCTTCAATTGTACAACTGTTTTTTGTAAATAATTTTTATTTCATTGAATCTTTTGTTTAAATGAAACTAAATATTAAAACTTGATTATTTTAATTTCATTGTAATTGTATTTCTCGTTCATTAAATCACACAAAAATTAAATTAAACTCAGTATTTATAGTGAAATTTTCTACTTGTCATCTGCAGAAGGACAACTTATCTATTTTTGTTGACTTGGTGTTACAATAATGACTACTGAACAATTGTGGCACAACCGTAATTTATTGGTATTCAATTGATTTTAACTAATGAAAGCATTCTCATCGATCACTTTTGTGGTTTTATTTTAACTCATTGCACATTTAACTGATAACCGATAATGATACGCAATCCAAATTGTGCAAAATGTTGAACCTGTTAATGTGATAAGAATATAAATTCATTATCACTTGAGCTTCAATGCGTGTGTTCATCAACCATTTATTTAAATATCCTACCCTAGTTGATAATTCAATAAAAGAGTGAGTTTCGCAAAAATCTGATAAAGTTAAACAAAAATCAAAATAAGATGATAAGAATTAAAAGTTTATTTTGGTTGTTAATATTTAGTTGAAGCTTGAGTTTGATGGATAAAGCTTTGGAAAAATATACTCATAAATGTATTTTATTGACTATTGGATTTTGCTTTAATATGCTACTGACCTAATTCTTTATTGAATGATTTTAAAATTGTTGAAAGATTTTCATGAGATTATTGATACTTACCATAAGTACGTTGAATGGTAACCAGCAAACTGTAAATACAGTTACAACGGTCATCATCATCTTGATCATCTGTAATGATAAAAATCAAAATTAGTATTAATAGTTTGAAATGAGAACTTAACAAATTGATACATAATTTCAAGAATATAATTCAGATTAGTGTACATTTTTTCAAAAATGAGGTAGTACAATTGTGAGGTGGATTTAAGTAAATTTATCTACAGTGAATAATAATGTGAAAAATTCTGTACTAAATTATAAAACAAGAATTTAATTTACTAGAGACTTTTTCTAATGTTTTTTATTCATGTCAATTAACTATTTTTTTAAATTACAAATTTCTCTATTAAGTTCAACAATGTGTAATTTTTTGTTATTTTTAAATCAATAAAATCCACATTTTGTTTGTTTTTTATGGAATATCAACAAAAATAAAAGATAAAATTTAACGTGGACATAAAGATTTATGCTTTCCATTAAAATTGTATTGATATTTAGCATCAGTAATTTTGACTTAGCTAAAAGCTATAAAAGTGGTTGTGACATAATCGACAGTATTTATTCTAAGGTTAAATTTTACAAGTAATAAAAATTATTTAAAGCTTAGAATTAAGTTTAAATTTCAATAAGAAATATTTTTTAGTTCTGAATGAAAAAAATATTTGGATTTAATCATGATTGAATCATACTGAAGTTGAAGATTCATTATCTTTTAAGCTTTGATTTATTGAAAATTTCTTTCAATGTCATGGAATTTAGACTGAAATTTGAATTCAATCTCAGCTTATATTCATTCAATAGCTGTTATTATTTTCTGTTGACAATTAAATTAAAATTCAAAATAAATAAACTAAATGTAAAAATATTATATAATTTTTTCTTGTTTTATTTTATAAATAAATACAGATTAAATTTTTTTTTATATCACAAATTGATAGGTTTGAAAAAATTATATCTGCTCACTATCAGTTTATTTAAATTTAACGAATGTTTAATCCAGCTCCAATCTTCCAGTTTTTAATTAAATTAAATTATATTTTTTTATAAAATTTTTCAAATAATTTTCTAAATAAACATAGTTTTATTCGTGTAATTCTAGATATTTTTATTAGTTCCAATCAGTAGAATTTCTTCGCAATGAGTATTTTAATTTGTTCAGAAAGTATTCGAATACAATGTAATCTATAAAATGCGTTCCAACAAAGTTTTTGAGGCATTAATTGAGTAAAAACGACTGAAAATAAAGAGAAACCTTTCGAATAAAATTAATTCTTTGTAGCGAAGCGTATAAAATTACTAGCTAGTGATCTCGAACTTTAGTGGACATTGCACTTTACGTTTACACGATAGTAAATTTTAATGAAAGCTTTCATCAGTATTTTATGTATTTTATTGTTCTTCTCTATTCAGTGTTATTTGAAAAAACGTTGCAATTCTATTTTTATTCAAAAAATGGTTGGAATGCTTTTTTGTTGAAAATATTGTAAAATATGTGACTATTTCTATATTGCTAAAATATCGAATATTAAAAATTGTTCAAATAATTAAACACTAACAAAAAGAGAAATTTCTTCATCCTTTATAATATTTTGTTCGATTATTATTTTTTTTTTATTTCAACTTACAAAGAGCACTGAATGATATTTCTCTGCCACAATAAAATATAAAGACTGTTTGAAACTAATCATAGAACAATTACCAAGATCCCGAAAGAAATGAAACTTTTTCCCTTTTATATATTTCTAGATATACGAACGTTAAAGATACAACTTTGCTCCAAACTGAGAATATATACACATATGTGCAAATATACTTTATGTCCTAACTTGTGTACATATTGGTAAAATATTTCATCAATTTGATATAGTATTTTGATACATTTTTCCAAACTTTTTCATTGATTTTCATCTAAACTTTAATTCTTCGACATTCTTTTCCACTTTTAACTAAACCACTACCGTTAAAAACAAATATATCTTGTCGATTTATTTTAAAAGCGATGATTATTTTTGTAGAGATATTGGAATAGATTGCCATTGGCTTTATGTTTTCATTCAGAGATCAAACTAATGGTATATATCTATATGGCATTTACATTTCTAAATTTAGAGTTAGAAAAGAAACATAGGCACTTCATGAACAAGCATGAAAATCAAAAATTTTATTCATTTCAAAATCAATATGAATTTAATGTAACTCTATGGGCTCGTTTTGGAAAAATGTGTATTCAAATATTTTCTTCATTTAAAATAAAAATATTCGAAAAGTTTTATGTTAAAGTAAACCTCGGAAACATAAGCGTATAAAATCTGATGTGAGACGGTCTTATTATCATCCTACTATCAGATTGTAAAAGGTATACGTATTTTGATACGATGTTAGCGTCGGATAGAATATATTATCGTTTTTTTGATAAACTTATTTTTATGCTTATCTACTTCAAAAAAATTTTATATCATTTTAATACTTTTTTTAATTTTTTTATCGTAAGAAATATGATATATTATTATTATTATTATTATTATATATATTATTATTATTAGTATGAAAAGAAGAAGAATTTTTTGATGTTTCTTATTTAGGTAATTATTATGGAATTAGAGTTTAGCACATCAAAGTATCAGTATTTAAAAAAGACTTGGTCCTTTCATTTTTTTTTAATTTAATGAATTTCATTTATGCTAGTAGGGAAAGGGTGGGCAAAGTGAAACACTCGAGAAAATGTACTAATTCATTAAAATAAGAGTAAAAACACTTATTGCACTTTTTATTTATAAATTTTTCAATTTATTAATGCACTAAAAATTGTAAAAAATTTTATTATTATGGATAATTTGTTGATTTAAATTTTTTTGTGGTGTTCCACTTTACCTCTTCTTCCCCTACGTTTTTTACTCCATCATATTTGTAGTGGTAGAAGGTTTCTCTCATTTTCACATAAATTTCTATAATTATTCGTAAACAACATCATTAATGAAAGCGAGAGAGAATTCTTGTTTTATTTCTTTACGCTCTTCTATGTTTTTTTTTTTATATTTCACAATTTTTATCGTATTTGCTGAAAAATTATTTTAAACAATAATAATTATATTCTCTATAAAATTTCATTCTGAAAAAAAATTTTTGAAAAGCATTTTCTCAATTAAAAATTTTTCATTATTTCTGTTGTCATAAAAAACTTTTCAAATCTTATCTCAATGAGTATTCGTTTGCAAGTTAGTTATATTTTTTAAAATATCAAACTTTTTTTTAAAGAATATAATATCATTATTTTTAATACGATTTTTTATTGTTTTCATCTGCTTAGATTTCTCGGCAAATGGAAAAAGGAAAAGACAATATTTTTTGTTGTTAAGAAAAAAAAAAATCTCTATCACACTATAAATAATAATAAACCATTCTTTATTGTTCATATTTACGTTGATTTTATCTTAAGTTAAAGAAGATAAAATTAGGGAGTGTTTGATCCCTCGGACAATAAATGGTTGCACGCCCTTGCATTTGAAGCAACGTAAGGGGAAACTCGAAGAGTGATGGAAATGAAGGGTAGACGACGGTTATTACTATTATAGGCATAATCGTCGCCTTAGATACACATAATTACTATTAATGATAAAGCAACAAGCTATAAATAATTAACTTGAGCACTATAAATTAGTCGAGTAACGATTAGTTTCTCTACTGACTATTTGAAAAGGACAGGCTAATGAAGAAGAGAAGGAAATGAAAGAAAATAACATGTGAATAGAGAAACATTAAAAATGGAAAATGGTAATGAAATGTATGGTATCACATTTTTTTGTCGTCGCCTTTCAGTAACAAGTTTTAAGAGGCTTGTCGACCAGGATAAGGATAAAATTGCCATAAATGTTTGTTAAAGTGATTTGAATAATTTTCTACCGTTGATAAGACTCAATTATATGTACCATAAGCACTAAAGCCACACACATTAACTGCTCGTTAAGATTTTATCCAATTTTCGAAATGTCGAGACCGTTGCAGAATTTAGTGATTTTTATTCTTTTTATTTTTATTGGTAAATATTAATTTTATTTTATTACTTATACTGTGCTCTTTTTTGCTCATTAATACTTTGAATGCTTTCTTTTGCATTCAACTTTAAAACAAAAAGAAAATTTTTCTTTAAAGAAAGATTGAAAGCATTTCTTTTAATGAACAGTAAGACAGACTGTGATAAATTAATTAAATACCAATCAAAGTATTAGTGGCAAAATCGAATTCTATTTTCAATGAATGAATGGTTAAAAAAATATAAACTACTTACTTATTTTTTATAATTATTTCAATTTATTTTTTACATTATCCCTAGAAAATAATCAATTTTTCTATCTTAAAAAATGTAATGAGTTTTTTTTATTCACATCTTTTTTTTTTTTTATTTCACAGTCGATGGAGCACCTTCCCAATTTCTCAGTACTATATTTTTTCGTCTCTATACTAGGTATGAAATTATATTTTGATCTTTTTTTTTAAATAACGAAATAGAAGCAAAGTAATTGATAAAAACACTCCATTCACGAGTTATTTAATTTTACTTTTTACTTTTAATATTTTTAATATCTTCAGCTATCATTTAACTCTTTTTTATTTTTTCTAAGTAATGATGTAAATCCGTTTATCGATGAATATTTGGAAAATACTAGTAATCTCGTTGCGCATATAGACACTAGAAAGAAAACAGTAATTTATATTCATGGTTTTACTGAGAGTATAAACAGTAGCAGTGTACGAGCAATCGTTGACGGTAAGTAATAAAATAAACATAATAATATCAATCCAATTAAAAAAAAGTACTTCAATGACACTTATCTATACAGCATAAATATGTTTCTTATACGTTTAGCATTTTAAAAAATTTTACAATTCTTCATTCGTATCAAATCAAAATATGTTTTATAAGCTACTTTGTAAAAGTATTCATCATATAAATCTACTAGAAATATTTATTGAAGTACTATAAAAGTTATTACTTTAAAACAAATAACATCAAATGTGTAATTTTCTTCGATAGGATATTTAGCACGTCAAGATCACAACATACTCGCAGTAGATTGGAGTGTATTAGCACGAGAGAATTACTTTCAAGTAGTGTCACATGTCGAAGACGTAGGTACACAAGTTGCAAATGCAATCACTTCAATGTTAGCAGCTGGTATTCCATTGGGAACGATTCATATCATAGGACATTCGATGGGAGCACAAATTGCTGGTGCTGTTGGAAGGAAGTGTCATTTTAAACTATCACGAATAACAGGTATGGTTCCTATCAACTTTATTTCTCAGCAAGAAGTTAAAAAAGTGTATGAAAGTCTAAAAGTTATTTTTTCGTCTCAAGGTCTTGATCCCGCTGGACCTTTATTCAATCTTCTGCAAAGTCCCCTTTCAGCTTCAGATGCCAAGTTTGTGGACATTATTCACACAGACGCCGGTCTCTATGGAATAGCCCGTATAACTGGAACTGTTGATTTTTGGCCGAATAGAGGCATAAGACTTCAGCCAGGCTGTCCTGAGAATGCACAGTTTTATACTCCAGAAGGTGAAATGTTCCATTCCTTTTTAATTTATTATAATCTATTCATCGTTTTTACTAATAAATAATATTCATATCGTGATATAAATATACAAGTATTTATATCTACTTTAGCTCACTGTTGTAGCAAAAAAATCAAAAGTATTTAAACGTATTCATGTAGAGTAAAAGCTTGCCAAAAGTTCTAGTACATTTTTTAGGTTTTTTATTTATTCATGCATTTACTCTTTTTTGGCTACATTCTTTATTTACTTCTACCTTCAAATTCACTCTCTTTTCATTGTATATAGATTTTTGCAGTCACCACCGGTCTTGGGTATTCTATGCAGAGTCTTTGGTGCGAGAAAACGCTTTTCTCGCAGTTAAATGTTCATTTAACTCTGACTACTCAAAAGCAAACTCTGAAATTATTCCAATGGGATATTCAACGCCTTTTAATGTGTAAATCGGTTTTTTTTTCTTTTGTTATCACATAATTCTATTTATCAATAAAAATTTATAATTCATACTGGTTTTAATTAAATTTAATAAAATAATAATGTATTTCAAGCGATATTAATTAAGCTCATAATTTTTTCAGGAAAGGAAGCTTCTGTCTGATTACATCTGATGAACCACCCTATGGTCTGGGCCAAAAGGGAGCTCAAGAGCAATAAATATTTCCGTGGTTTGCTTTAATTTTAGAAAATTACATGTACTAATATGTATTAAAAGCAGGATTAAAAAATAAATTGCAAAAAATGACAAACCTTTCTTTTTGATTTGGCCATCCTTTGATCTCTGATATTTTCCGCTTCACCAGGAGGCCTCTTTCCCCACACTTTAATTGCAATACTGCTATAGGTGAATATAAGAACTATAAGTGGCACAAGGTATTGGAGGACCAACAGTGCAATTGAGTAGTAGTATCTGTTGATGATAAGAGAGGAATTATTCAACAGCCATAAATAAATAGAGAGAAAAACTAAGAAAGTATCATAAGTTCAAGATTGATAATACCCTGAGCAGAAACTTATTAAGGTTATTACGACCATATCAGAAACCCCAGAAATTTTAAAGGACCCTTATTAAGAATGGAGCACCTAAAAACATAAGATCCTGATCAAGCTACTTTATGAAGCTGAAGAAGAATTAGGAAGTAATTGGATTTTTTAAACTAAACGTTATTTCGTGTTCAGTTTGATGATGTAATTACACAAAATTAACTACGGTGATTTGAAAATTTAATATAATTTAACAGAAATGGTAAAAAAAATCATCTTTGTTTCGACAAGATCTAATGAAGTATGACTTTCTTAAAGAATTATATTATGTGATTTTTTATCAGGACCTTATATAAAATACGATAATACAGTACATCCGGTCAAGTCTGATATAGTCCTGATCATAGTGTTGTATATTTTATCATTTTTCTGCTGCAGAAGGAATATCAAAGTTGAAATGAAAAAAAAACTAATAATGATATATAAATTACCGTTGATGTGCTGAAGGCCATTGCTCTTGGCATATGTATCGGTTACATTTCTGATATCTCTCGCTCGGTTGAGAAAGACGAGATACTACTGCAATCGGTGAGGAAACAGTCAAAGCAACTAACCAAACTGCCAAGATCAATAACTTAGCTTGACTCTTGCTCATACGTGGCTTTAACGGCCACATTATCGCAACATATCGATCTATGCTGATAGCAATCAGTGTGTAAGCACTGACAAGTACAGACACTGCCTACGAACACAGTAAATGACCAGCTGTAAGTTATAAATTAATAACGTCTAGTTTAGGAGCTTGTTCAATTGGCTTTACCTGAGAATAATTGACACTGGGACACATTTCAGCACCAAAAGGCCAATATTGTAAGATTAGGGTGCTTACAAAGCTTGTTGGAACGCAAAATAATGTCATGAGAATATCACCAAATGCAAGATTAACTATAAAAAAATTTGTCACTGTTTTCATACGTGGATTACTCCAGACCACGTAACATACTAGAGCATTTCCAACCAATGCTACTACAAATACTATTGAATAGAGTAAATAAACAGTTGTTTGGAACCAGACAGATGCCAAGACACTTCCTTGGGATAAAAAGTGATCACAGCAGAAAATGTCTTCTTCACTGACATTGGGAAAAAATGACGTGTGGTTCATACTATTTCCCCTACAGCTCGAGAGCTCGTAAATATCAGGAGATGAAGTCGTGATGTTCATGGCTGACTGAAGTAGAACCAGGCTTGCTTTATTATTAGCATCTTCAAATGTTATACCATCATTGTCTCTTATTGGTTTCATAGTCGTGCATTTCATGACTTTATTCCCTCAGTTTGTTGACTTTTCGGAGAATATATTGAATGAGGGAATTTTGGAATTGACATTGTTCTAAAGTTTCTGTTGTTCTTAACTTGGTGACTTATAATTCTCGCACCTGCAAAAGATTTACATGTGTTTATACATGCAATGAATTAGAACTATTCACTGCATTTATTTAATTAATTTACATGTATGAAATTATACGTGTTTATATGTAGAATACTATATTTCATGCTGTTTTAGACATAGAAGTTTTTTTAAAAAAGTTTAAAAAAAGCTGTATGCAATAAAAAATCTGTAACTTTGAGAATTATTAGACTTTGATAGACTGAAAACAGTTTAAAACATAGTTCTTCTACTTTTAAAAACTTCTCATAAATTCTTTACTTTCATCCAGCACTATATTATATTATGGAATAAAAACAAAAAAAAAATACAATTGATTTTTTCGTCTCTTTTATGAAGTTTCACATTTTTATAACTTTCAAAAGGAACATTTACACTACTTTGTATGAAAGGGAACTAAATGAAACAAAAGAATAAATATTTAAGTATCTAAGCTTATAAACAAAACACGATTTTTCAGGTTCAATAATTTTTGTTCAGATTGATGGAGTTTTCATTGTTTCCTTGTGACGGTTATTTGATACTACAAAAGTTTAAAGATACATAAAAATGAAAAATTTAATATTATAGCTAAAAATAAATCCGATACTCTGGAAATTCAATAAACAATAAATATTTTATTCAATATAACTCAATTGTTAACGAGTGAAAATTGAGTTTCCAATATTTTTTGCAACTTGCATTTATAAGTTACATAATAGAACTTGAGATTTTATTGAATAGACAAAGATAGCCGTTATGCATTTCGTTTATGAAAAGTTAGAAGTAATTCATTGAATTCTCGTTGATGAAAAGTTGAAAATTGATTTTCGATTCTTAAATTATAAAAGAAATTTATGAAGATTTTTTATTTTCAATTAAAAAATTTTTTTTTTCTATTAATTTACACATGAATTCTTGCGTTTATTTCATTTTCAACTAAAAAAATATTGATACAGTTAAAGATTTGCAATTGAGAATGAAATAGCCTGAAATATTTACTCAAAAGTAAAATGTCAATTTCAAACACTCAGAATAAAAATTTGTAATATCCGATGCAAATGAATTTATAAATAGTTATTGAAAGAAGAAAATTTCTATTTTTAATATCAAAGTATGCAAAACTACAAGATTCGAATTAATATTTTATCAAAAATGTCTCTAACAACGATAATTTAAGTGCATTATTTCATTTTTCAACTGCTACTGGATATAAAATTATTTTCTCTTAGCTCGTACCTACTATTTCTGTACAATTCCATTTTCTACAAATAAATTATAAGAAAGTGCATTATTATTATTATTAAAAAACTAATCTTAATCCTTAATTGGATCTTGAGATACACAATATGAACTTTATTAATGACATAGTTTTCAACAACGATCATCTCAATAGTTCCACAATAATTGGAACTTTATTGGAATGTTATATGTTAATATCGATAAAGTACGTTGTAATACTAACGTAAAAGATATCTATCAGGTGAATAATTTTATTAATGACATATTTGTCTGAATTATTTATCATAAAAGAAAATTAATAAACGAATAAGCTTTTGATACAATTTAAATCCATTATGGAGATTAAAAAATATGCCACGTATACGTTTTATCAAATGGGTTATGTTTAGAAACTAAAACTTGAAGAAAAATAGAAAACATAGTTTGAAAGTATGCACAACATAATCAACTTCAGTTGAAAGTACTGGACATTTTTATGCAAAATTTTTCTCAAGTTATTCCCAATGACGGGAATACTAATATTCTGGTACTTGAAGTTTTTCGTCAAATTGTATTGAAAATGATTATTAATAAATAAATTCTTCACTTATTATTAAATTATACTAATTCTAAATTCTATTTTTACGATCATGACGTTTATTAAATATGTTTTTATTCATTTTTTATTACTAATTAAATTTTTTACTGCCTTTATGTTAATTTATTGGTCCAAGAATCTCATTGGAATGTTGATAAGCTTCTACTATATAGCCAAAGTATGTCCATCTGTTTAATATTATAACTTGAGTACTCCAAAAAACTTTTCATTTTGCTGTAACAACAATCATAACTTTTTCTATAAACACAATATTTCAGACGAAAGAAATTTAATATAAAAAAACATTCATACTTGAGAAATGTCAATAGAACTAACGGATATGTATGATATATTTGGATGAGTAAACTGACGATTGGCAATAGTTTGTAGAGAAATGAGAGAATCTTGATCTCGTAAATATTGATTTGATCAAATACTTTAAAGTGCGATCGGCATGTAAATTTTTCTATCTACGTGCAAATTAAAAAAAGTTTGATATTTCAATATCTGCGTAGGCTTTTATATGTTCTCATTGAAAAAATTTTAGACTTTTTCGAGTTTCGTTTGAAATAAAGAATTCTCGAGTTCATTCATGGTTAAAATATTCTATAAAAGCTGGGTAATGTTTTTCGCATGAATGATTAAAATATTTCTATATGAAAAAAGACAAAACCTGAGGTGTATGTGTTCATTTATAATATCAAAAGTGTGATGTGCGTATTTATCGAAATATCAATACTAAGAAGCGCAAAAACTTAAGCTTTCTCATCACGTATCTTCGACGCTTTATTCATAAAAAGTATGTGGCACTGCTATACGATGTAAAGAAAAATATATTTTTCTCATAAATTTATCTAACGTAAATTTATATTCTTGTACAATGTAATCATGTTTGATTCATATTTCAACACATTTTCGCAGCTTTGGCGAATATATAGAAAAGATCTAGAGGCAAATAAAATATCTTAATTAAGTCTGCGTTACTTTTAGTTGTAAGCGGATTTTTTTTTAAGGGAAAATATTAAGTAGAACTTGAGATAATTTATAATTTCAGAAAACTGAAGGTTAATTTTCTTTTGCTTATAATTTATATTGGCTTGTATATTTTTTACAGTAATGTATTAAATTATTATTTTGTAACCTAGATGAAATTGATCACAAATTTTTTAATAAAAATTTTCTTTAGTCGAATAAAAATTGCTTGTTATTTACGATTATCAAAACTAATTAAATTTTCATTTTATGCTCTTTTCACTGCCAAATCCAATTTGTGTTATCTGAAAAACTTTAATTGACTTTTATAGAGTTTATTTTAAATAAAAAAATGTATAATTTAGTTTGTAATTCGATTCAAACTGATAGATTGAATAAACCACATTTAATTTTTTTTCATTAATAAAAAAAATGCATAATGTAATGAGTTGATGTAGTCACATAACTGATAAAATACAAAAAACAGAACTTTGAATAATTTCAAAGCCTGTGAAGTGTTTTGTCTTGAAGTAAATTGATGCCTTATTCTTTCAACTTCCTACACGTAGTTCAACTATAATTACACAGGGTAACCATATATTCGATTAGAACATAAACCACTGCTTCAACCTATCAAATCCCTTGCTATCGTAAACAACGATGATCTTTAGAACAACGCTATTATTCGATAATAAGTAAACTAGTTACATGACTCAAGATGAAACTTCATTAAATTTAGAAAATAATTATTAAATATTTCTATAAGAATCGAATTTTATTAAATTCATTCAGTTTTAAATTATTCCAATCAACTATCTCATATTATACTAACTTAAAGCCAGGAAAATAATTCACAAATATTTTTCACTTCATGTTTATATCAGTTAAAATATTATCATCTGTGTATTGTTATTCATAAGAATAATTGAAATAAATAAAATTCTCATGGAAACAACAGCAAAGCAAATCACTCTAATGGATTGATGACATTTTGAATAATATTACAACTGAATAATAGTGAAGTATGAATATTTTATTGTAAATAAATGTAAAATAATATTAAAAAAAAATATGTGTATCGTTCAAAAAGGTCATTTTTTTTATTTTAAAGAGTAATTGAACGTACATTATATAAATATTACGATTGGCTGTTTCATTTATGAGGTAAATACTAATTTATCAAAACCAGATAAATACCAGTCCCAGATTTAAAATCTAGAATCTAATTGTATAATTATTATTTATTAATATATAAATCTCGTGTACTACATGATTTTGCTCAATAATTCTGATATTAATTCTTCTGCTTATTCCAATGTAATGACATTTCAAATTGTGTAATGGCCACAAAATAAATGATGTAAACAATAGGTATCACATTAATCATAAACTGAGTATTATTATTTCTACATACTCAGCATGTTTTGGCATAATAACATATATTATTCCAATAATTATTAGAGCAGATTATGAATGACCAGTTGTAGAAAAATAATTATTAATATGGAACATTTAGCTGCATTATCATAATTCATTGAAAATATACTGAAATTGTAATATTTTCTGATACCAATTAACTTTATCATGAAAGATGCAGAAAATAGTTTGGTTATAATTGTAAACATGTCACTATTGACCATGCAAACACATTATTTTGATGATATAGAATGTTAGTATTATAGTAATAATAATAATACATCAACCCAATTAAATAAGTAAATACTAAACATATTGTAATAATATCGAAATACTTTTATTACAAAGGTATTACAAAGTGGAACTAATCTATTACAACTATTAACGCTTCATGTGATAATATTTAAATAGTTTATCATAAACATTAACTGGTAAATTAAGTTAAAAAGTCAAAAAAATTTCAGAATGCCCCTATTATCAGTGTAGTCAAGATAAATTATTGTATAAATACAGTCATCCTTATTGTTGG